CTCCTCCTCCTCCTCCTCCTCCTCCGCCTCCTTCTGATGACGGCCTTGTTTCAGCGCTCGCGAGCGTCCGCCGTCGACGGGCGGCCGTGGTCCTGGAGTTTTTTTGGGACGGTCTTGGTGCGCTCTTGTGGGCCATCGGGGCCGTCTCGAAGCGCTCCCGGGCCTCCCTTAGAGCTCTCCTGCGCGATTTGGGAGCCCCCTGGAGGCCTCGGATGCCGAACGGAAGCGAACAGGTAGAAGCCGAACCTCACTGAATCACTTGACGTTGCTTCGGGGTGATTTTGTCTGTGAGGAGCCCTCCAGGCGTTTCCGGCTCAGTTGTATTGTGCGGCCCAGCGTGAGGCTGTCCCTACGTATGCGCTGCCAGCGTGTGCCGACCAGGGTCCCATCCACCGTCTATTAGTCGCGCTCAATGGAGGATTTCCGATTGAGCCAATTGTTTCGGTCGACACGGGCTTTGCATGCATTCGGGGGGGGTTTTCTTCGTCGCCATGGCTCCATGCAGGTCGAGCATTCACAGAGAGAGGGCAACGGACTTCGAGGGCATTGTGCAAGCAGGGTCAGTCCGTCGCGCGCGCTGGCCCAAAAGCTTTCGACCAGACCCAGCTCCCGGCCTTCTTCGAACACGGGCGCCCCCGCCCCCTCACTGCGAGCACCCGCAAGCCGGAAGCCACTCGGCCAGGATGGCGTCGTCGGCTGCAGGCGCCAGGCAGGCCAGCAGCGCTGGCGCGTGCGGCGTGTCGCTCACGCGGTGCGCGGGGGCCGAGGGAGGCGGCGGGCTCGTCCGCTGCGCGCTCCGCGGGCGGCTTCCCAAGGCCGAGTCCGGGCGCCGCAAGGTGCTCGCCGTGATCCTGGACCGCTCCGGGTCGATGGCGGGCGCCACGTGGCGGCGCGTCGTCTCCGCCGTCGCCGACGTGGTCACGGACGAGCTCCTGGAGGACCCGTGCGTCTCCCTCGTGTTCGTGGCGTTCTCGGACCAGGCGGTGGAGGTCCCCCCGCCGCGGAGGGCGGCGGAGCTCCGCGAGCTGCTCCTCTCCCGGGAGTACTCCCCGCAGGGCGGCACCTCCTTCAAGGCCGCCTTCGCGCTCGCCCAGGCGGCGGTGCTGCGCGAGCTGTCCAAGCACGCCGGGCAGGGGCGGCCCGCGCGAGATGTGGACCTGGCGGCCCTCGTATTCACAGACGGCGAGGACACGTCCGTCAAGGGCGCTCGTGGCCGCCACGGAGTCCGCCTCGTTGACCAGGTCGCCTCACGCGCTGCCGCCCGCGCCGCAGGAGACGCTTTCCGAGAGGCTCTCCGCGGCACTGGCTGCGCCACCCACTTGTGCGTGGCGGCCTTTGGTGAGGACCATGACCCGGGGCAGTGCCAGTACCTCTCGGACAGGTACTTCTACATCAACCGCGGCGAGGCGCTGGCCGACGTGCTCGCGGGTGGCCTGGGCGCTCTGCTGAGCAGCGCGGGGCAGTGCGGGCTCCGCCTGCAGCTGCCGCCTGGCGTCGCGCTGGAGGAGCCGATTCCTGCCAGCCTGCCGCTGGATTCTCAGGGGCGCCTCGACCACCACGTCTGGCTGCGCGTGGAGGCCGACGCCATCGATGCTGAGGAGCGCCTCTCTGTGGACGTGGACGTGGCGGGCGCGCCGGTCCTCCGGGGCTCCGCCGCCGTCCGGCAGGCGGCGGACGTCGACGCCGACTCGTTCGAGGGCCACGCCTTCGTGCTCGACCTGGTCGCCCTGCAGCTCCGCCAGATCGCCCGCGGCCTCTGCGGCCGGCGGCCTGGCGCCTGCGAGCTCGGCAAGCTCCGCGAGCGCCTGACCGAGGCGAAGGGCCGCGTGCAGCCGACGCGGGCGGCCGCCCACAGCGCGCGCGGCCACCTGCGCGGCAGGGCCGCGCTGCGCGAGCGGCTCGCGGAGGTGGACTCCGCCCGCGAGCGCCTGTCCTACGCGCTCGGGCAGTTCGACGAGCGCGGCGCTCGGCCGCCCCGGTGCGCCCGTGTTGGCGCCGCGCGCACCGTGCTCGAGACGTCCCCGCTGGCACGCCGCGTGTTGGCCCGGCACGCGCTGGCCCACGCTTTGGCGAGCGCACGGCGCCGGACCCGAGGGCAGCACAGCCCACTCCCAGCCCCAGCCAGGGCCCCCACTCCCGACCTGGTGATGCACGGGTCCTGGCTGGGGGTGAGGCTGGTCTCCCTGGACCACCAGGTCGGTAGGGGGGGGGTTCCTGGCTTGGGGCGGGGGTGGGTTGTGCTGCTCTCGAGACCTGCGTTGCCCAGTCTGCGTGTTGAGCTCCCTGCCAATACGCCACGTGTCGCGTGTTGCGCCTTGGGGCAGCAGCAGTCAACGCGCCTCGTAAGGACGCGCGCCTTTATCTAGGGTACCCTTGTGTCCCTGCCGCTGCGGCTCGTCCTTTGCCGTTTTCACTGGGCGCCCGCCGCCGAAGAAATCCCAACTTCGGCCTCCAAGGGTACTGCGTGCGCACTGGTCGACTACACGCAAGAGTGACCTCTCGCTGGAGTGACCTCTGGTGCGGGCCCAATGGGGCCCCCCGATCGCCGCATGCGATGCGGCAGTAGCGGCTTGCGCGCTTGGTGGCGTCCCCGAAGGCCCCCCCCCGTGGCCGCGCCCCAAAGGGCACTCCTGCCTGCTCCGAGTTTCTTGATGAGCGTCGGGGGGGCGTCGCCCTCGCCGACAGCGCCACAACGACCCCCGTCGCGGGCAGCCACTGCGCGCGGAAGGCGCTCCGAACCCCCGTCGCGGCGCGACGACGGGGCGAGGTTGACCCCCGTCGGGGGGGGTACCCTTCCACGCTTGCCAAGCAGCCCAGAGTAGGGTGTCACTCTTGCGTGTGGCCGCACTGGGCAGCCGAGGCACGACGTCAACGACAGCCGCCAGATCGGCAGCGTGGCCATCGATGCCATCCTGCGCGACGCCGGGCAGCATGTCCCCCAGGGGCCGGCCGCGGCCGGCCTCGCGCGGCGTGCGGCCGCCCTCGCGGCGCTGCCGGCGCCAGAGGCGCTGTCGAAGCACGGCGTGGAGTACACGACGGACGGCTATCTGATGGCCTTCGGCCCGTCCCGCCGCCGTCCTCGCTCTCCGGCCCGTCTCTGTTCCTCGCTTGGCCCGCTTCTCTTTGTCGGCCCGCCCCGTGGTAGAGTTGCGGCGGCCCGCGCTGCCACGCTGGCGAGTACCGTCGGGGTGGCAGCGGCTTGCGCACGATGCAGTCATCGAACCTGTCGGGCCTCTGCTGCCGCCGCCGCTCGTTCTCCTCGTCAGGAGTAGAGCCGCGCTCGGGCTGTGGGTCGGAGTCCTCACGAGTGCTTCTTGGGGTCTCCTCGGAGGGCTCTCGGGAGCCTTCTCGGGGGCAGTCTGAGGCCTCTTGGGAGTGCCTTGAGGGCATCCCTGGGGGCCTCCTGGGGCTTCCCTGGGGGCTTCCCTGGGGGCTTCCCGGAGGGCCTCCCTGGGGGCCTCTGAGGGGCCTCTTGGGGCGGAGAGCTCGAAGGAGCGCGCGCAGGCGGGGGGAGGCGCCGTCTAAAGGAGACGAGGGGCTTCCAAGAATCGGAGATTGGTAGAACTCCCACCCTGCCGAGTCGATCAGCGAAGTGACCTTTTGCGGTTCTCGAGAGGGTGTTGCGTCCGCAGCTTGTGCGGACAAGTGCCCGCTGGGTCTGGCCCTGGGCCGTTTCCACGAACGGGTGTTTTACGAAACGGGGTTCTGTCCACTCCCGACGACGGCGGGAGCTTCCAAGAAAGCGGGGGGCATCTCACGAGACCTCCCAGCTTCCACGAGTCTTGGAACTTCTCTTTTGGGTCGGGAGTCCCTGGACCCTTCCCCTGACTTTTCAGCAGCCCTCTGCTCTCTTTGGATGCGCCCAGCCCCCGCCTCGCGCCCCCCTCCCTTCTGTGCGCGCCGCCAGCTTCTGCCGTTCCCCGCCGACCCCCTGAGCAAGCGTTTCGGTGCCGTGCCACGGGGCTGCAGTGGGCCTCTCGTTGGCACCCGGTCCGGCCCTCCGGGGGCCTTCCCTGGGCCACTGTGGGGCGCTGTCCTCTGAGGCTCAGCTGCCGAGAGTCAGGCGTGAATGCCAGAATCTTGAACCAACACACACACACACACGCACACGTGTGCTTATCGTTTTTGCTTGGTTGGGGCGTTTTTTTTTGGTGGTTTGCGGCTGAGGAGGAGGACGATGCAAGGAAGGGTGGTTGACCTCCCCCTCCTTTCCGGGTGGCTTGGGACCCCCAGCATTCGCTGCTGACAATAGACAGCGAGCACCAGCGTGCGACGACGACGACGACGACGACGACGACGACGATGACGGCGGCGGCGGCGGCGGCGGCGGCGGCGGCGGCGGCGACGACGACGACGACGACGACGACGACGGACGATGAAGACGACGACGACGGCGATGGCGACGACGGACGAAGAAGACGACCGACGAAGAAGATCGAATAATGACGACGGACGTCCGAAGACGCATAGAGCTGACGACCGACGACAGGCACCCGACGACCCGATGACCAACGACGACGACGATGGACGTCCGATGACCGGCGACCGACGACCGACGACCGACGCCCGACGGCCGACCACCGATGACGACGACGACGACGACGAAGACGACTGGCGACGACGAACGACGACGACGACGTCGACGACGACCGACGACCGACGACCGATGACCAGCGACCGACGCCCGACGACCGACGCCCGACGCCCGACGACGACGAGGACGACTGACGGCAGGGCGGGACCTAAATGCTGTTTTGCTGGACTTGGATTTCGGCTGTGTCTTGTTTTCCGTTTTGGCAGGGAGGTACAGGACAGCAGGTAGAGCAAAACGAAAAACCAAGCGAAAACAAAACGAAAGCAACGTCTAGGTCCAGCCCTGAGTGACGGTAGTGTTAGGTGGGGCATGTCCCCCCTACCGAGGGATTGTGGGCGCAGAATAAGGAATAGTCAAAGCATACTCCAACAACTACGCAAATATGGTCAACAACTCGTCCCCAGACTGTTTTGGGGGAGACTTTTCGCAACGCGGATGTTCAAAAAAAGCTTGTGCACGCGCTCTGGACACTTCTTGAGAAAACAAATAGGTTCTCCAACGTTGTTGTAAAATGCTGCCAAGCGGGGTTCGCGCGCGCACATGTCGAAATCGCCCGACCGCCCTTGCGCGCGTGTTGTCGCGAGAATCCTTTTAGGACAAAAAATGAGACCTCAACGGTAGTCACGGCGGCACGGGGCGGGCGACCTGCTCCGCCCCGCGCCGAGCGCCCGCGCGCGGCGCGCGCACGGCCGCTCACGCCCGTCAAAGGGCGCCGCCGCCCCGCCGCGCGGGCCAACCCTCGTCCTCGTCCTCCTCCTCCTCCTCCTTCTCCTCCTCCTTCTCCTCCTCCTCCTCCTCCTCCTCCTCCTCCCCCTCCTCCTCTCCCTCCCCCTCCCCCTCCCCCTCCTCCTCCTCTCCCTCGCTCTCCTCCTCCTCCTCCTCCTCCTCCTCCTCCTCCTCCTCCTCCTCCTCCTCCTCCTCCCCCCTCCTCCTCCCCATCCCCCCCCCTCCCCCCCTCCCCCTCCCCCTCCCCCTCCTCCCCCTCGCCTCCTCGTCCTCCTCGAGCCCCCTCGGAGGCTGACGTCTTCGGGGGTAACGATAGGGGGGATAGGCATAGGGTTGAGTCGGGCACGTCCCTCTACAGGAGGAATATTCAAACACAGTCAAGAATAGTCTGGGGACCAGATTTCGATTATTTTTCAATCGTTGTGAACATCTTCGTGCCTTTTTTTCGTCCCAAATCCCCCTGTAGGAGGACACGCCCGACCTAAGCATGGGGGGGGGATGCATCGACCCCCAATTGCCCATTGATCGCCGATGGGGGCCCGATAGCCCCGACCTGCCCAGGAGGGTGCGGATGCGCCACCGGAGGTCCATCGCCGATCTATCGGCGATGCATCGCCGGAGGCCCACCTGGCGGCCTCCGCGCGTGGAGGCGCCCTCGGGCCCCCCCCCGCGGCGCCGCCGCGCCGGGCCCCCGCCGCCCGCTCGCGGGCCGCGGCCCCTCCTCGCTGCGGGCTCCGCGCCCCGCCTCCCCGCCCTCGGCCCCCGGGCCCCGGGGCCCTCCGCCTTACCCCCGGCCTCCCGTCCTCCCACCCCTTCCCCGCCCCTCGCGTAGTCTCTCCGGCTCCGCGGCAGCCGCTCCTCCCCGGCGGCGTCAGCTGCAGGCCCCGGCCGCGGCCCGGCGAGCGTCTGGCCGCACCTCTCTCTTATCGGCCGTGCCGCGTCCGCTCCTCCTCCTCCTCCTCCTCCTCCTCCTCCTCCTCCTCCTCCTCCTCCTCCTCCTCCTCCTCCTCCTCCTCCTCCACTCGGGCCGCGGCCTGGGAGGTGCCGCCTCGGCGGCCCCCCCCCCCGACCCCCTCCTGTCTCGAGCAGCTGCTGCTACGAGCCCTCGCCGAGCTCGTGCCCGAACCCGCACCTCTCCTGCCTCCTGCAGGGCGGCGGGTGGAGCCCCTTGGCCATCCTCCCGAGCGGCTCCTCGGGGCCACGGGCCCCCCTGCAGCTGCCAAGCAGCAGCGCCTGCCTCCTCGCGAGCGTGGCGGGGTGGCCTCTCGCCCCGCTCGCCGCGCGCCTGCGGCAGACCACGCCCTTCTCGCCTCCGTCGGCCCCGTGGTCCACGAGGTGGTGCCCTCGCCGCCCGACTCGGCCTCCTCCTGGACGTGCTTCGGCCTCCTCCTCCTCGGGTCTCTGTGCCTCTCTGGGGGACCTCACCTCGTTCTGGCGTGCCTCCTCGTCCTTCTCGAGGAAGTCCAGCAGCTCCTGCGGCGTGCCCTCCGAGGTCCACCACCCTCTCCCGAGGAATGCCGTCCGCGTCCTGCTGGCCGTCCTGCATCCGCACCTCCGACTGGGCGACCCACCTCGCCGCTGCCTTGGCAAGGTAGTGCGCTCGTCTAGCAGCTCGCCCTCTCTCCTCGCGCCGTGGCCAGAGCCTCGCAGCCTTCTTCGCGCAGGAGTCCGCCACCTCGTTGCCTCCCTCCATCCACCTCCCCGTCTCCGTCACGCACTCCGACTTCGAGCCGCGGCCGCTCACCTTGGTGACGTGCACGAGCTCGTGCCCTCTCAGCTCTGCCCGCCGCGCCCTCCACGCGTGCCTCCTCGCCGCCCCTTCCCCCATCCACCTCTCCGTCTCCGTCGCGCACTCCGACTTCGAGCCGTGGCCGCTCACCCTGGTGACGCGCGCGAGCCCGTGCCCTCCGCAGCCCTGCCCACCGCGCCCTCCACGCGCGCCCCCTCGCCGCCCCCCCCTCGCCGGCGCCAGGCTCCCGGAGGCAGCGCTCCCGGCCGAGCCCGCGCCGTCGCCGAAGACCTCCGGCGGCGCCCGCGCGCGGCGCGCCCGGGACGCGGGCGGCGGAGTCCTCGCCGCCCCGCGCCAGCGGCCGCGGCCCCCCAGGCGATGGGCAGGGTGCCGCACGCCGCTCCCGGCGCCTCGCCGCCCTCACGGATCATCACCACCGCCCAGCCAGCCCTCCTGAGAATACAGTGAGCGGCCTGAATAAGGAACACTTAACTTTTCAAAAGGGGCTCGGTCGTTCCTTAGCTTGCATTCGTTATTTACAGTTCCTTATGCGTTATTTGTCATTTATCGTTCCTGGTGCGTTATTCCTTGGGATAGGATACAAGGTAGGGGCTTTGTTCCTTATTAATCGTTCCTTAGGTCAGGCCGACGACTGTATCCTCCCCAGGGTCCATGGCGGACCCGTCCACGAACACCCTGCCGTGGAAGCAGCCGCCCAGGGGGGGACCTCGAGCCAGACCACGACGCGCGCGCGTGCACTGCGTCGCGCTTTCGCCTTTGATAGACGAGTGCGCGCGCACAGTATTTTTTTGCAGAGGATGACGGGGGGGGGATCTTGGCCTGGCTGGCGTGACATGGGTTTATATTTCGGATGAGCGATGGGGTATAATCATATGTAACTTAAAGCCCAGATCAGGGGTGCCATTCATTTCGGGGGGTGGGTGGGGTAGATCGTACTTCTTTTCTAGAAGCGAGAATTTACGTCGTGCAATCTGCGGTGGTCAATTTATGTTGTGCCTTGTGCGTGGTGCGATCTACGTGTTGCAAGTTCTGTGAGGCATATCTTGTCGCACTCAGTGGTCATATCCGCTGCTCGCACATTTACTCCATCCACTTACCCGCCATGTGGTTCGCAAAACCCATGCGGCGGCGATTGCGATGACTGCTTGGCGTTGTCTGGCGCTTCGCTGTGGCCGCACTAGCGCGCGCAAGCTCGCGAGCAGAGCGGCGACCGACGCGGCCGCGGTGGCGCTGGCCGCTGGGGACTTCCAAGTGCCTCTCGCAGGCCGCGCTGACGCGCGGGCGCTTCAGTGCGAGTCGGTGATCTCGGGCGGGCGCGGTATCATGGCGATGGCGACAAGGGCAGGCGCGATGAGGATTGTAGCGATGTCGGTGGCGACGGTGACGATGCCGTCGGCAACGCCAGTGACAGGGCCGATGCGGATTACGTCGATGGCGCTGATGGTGTCCGCGTGTCGGGGGTGGCGGTTTTCGGGAGAATTCGACCTGTGCGCGCGCGCGGCCGACGGGCCCGCGTGGCCCGCGTGGTGTCATTTGACAAGGGGTCGTGCCCCCGCAGCGCGCGCGCAAGCGCGCTCGAATGACTTCCATATGCGTGCGCGAGGGGGGCTCGTCAGGTCGCACTTCGTGTGGCAAGCCGTGCGGTTGGGTGCAAGGAAAGAGTCGCAAGATCGCGCGCGGATGCTTCTCTTGAGACGTCATATTGCAAAACCGTGTGGTTTTTGTGCTTCTAGGACATGTGGTTTTCGAGATCCATTCGGAACCGCTGGTTTTTAAACGGATTCCGACATGCGCGCGACGACGAGCACGTGTGCGCTTCCGTCCTGTTTTCTTGCAGAAAATTTCTGAACATCGATGCACGATTGTGCGCGCGTTGTGTGTGTGTGTGTGTGTGTGTGTGTGTGTGTGTGTGTGTGTTTTTGTTGTGCAAATGATGGATGAATGGTGTGGGGTGCCGGCTTCCTCGGGTCGGTTTTAATTATTTTTCGAATGGGCGATGGGCAAAATCACATGGAAGCTGCAAGTCTCCAGGGGGATGGATAACTTTGGCTTCGGGAGCGTGGAAGATCCCAATTCGTTTTTTGGAAGGAGAACCGACGTGGTGCAATCCAACGGCGGCGGCGACGGGGCGGCGACGGCGACGACATATGGCCAGACTGACAGACATGCCCAGACGACGGGCGGCGACGAGGCGGCGACGGGGCGGCGACGTCGGTTACATAGCAGCCAAACCGGCCGTCAGTCCCAGACGACGGGCGTCGACGAGGCGGCGACGGCGACTACATAGCCGCTAGACCAGCCGTCAGGCCCAGTTCCTTTGAAGAGGAATGAGAGCCCGTAAATGCAAACATTGTTTTGGGAGTATTTCCAAACCGTTGAACATCAAAGTGATCCAGAATATGCTCAGATCCTGGTGGCCTTGCGCAGCCACCTTGGAGAGTCCGTTTCGTTGTTGGGGCCATACTGCCTTCATCTTAAGCCGGGTTTCTTTGGGCCATCCTCGAGGCAGCCCTCAGGGGGGCGCACGTTCTTATTTCAATTGCTTGATAAAGCCGCGGAGGTGCGTTGGGAAGCTGGGTCCTCTTCCCAACACCCTCGCGGACCATTTGTTGTTGTTGTTGCCGTTGTCGTTGTCGTTGTCGTTGTTGTTATTGTTGTTGTTGTTGTTGTTGTTGTTGGTTGTTGGTTGTGGTTGTTGTTTGTTGTTGTTGTTGTTGTTGTTGTTGTTGTTGTTGTTGTTGTTGTTGTTGTTGTTGTTGTTGTTGTTGTTGTTGTTGTTGCTGTTGTTGTTGTTGTTGTTGCTGTTGTTGTTGTTGTTGTTGTTGTTGTTGTTGTTGTTGTTGTTGTTGTTGTTGTTGTTGTTGTTTTGTTGTTGTTGTTGTTGTTGTTGTTGTTGTTGTTGTTGTTGTTGTTGTTGTTGTTGTTGTTGTTGTTGTTGTTGTTGTTGAATATTATTACTTCTAAAGAATAATTATTGTTGGGCCCCCTGGTGCACGCCCCCCTCGCCGCGCCTAGGCCGCAGCCACATTTTCATCATTTTCGTGAGGAAGTCTCAGGCAAAACGGGGGAGTCCGGATCCGGTTGTTTTGTTGACGCCCGCTTTCCCTGTCAAAAACAATATAAAATGACATGTCTTGTTCTAACATAACCAAACTTCAAGAATCCTTTGCAAAAATGACACGAAGTGCACACTCGCGCGCGCAAGATGAAATCCTTCCAAAACCTTAGTTTTCGTAGCGATTTTAACATAAAACATGAAAAACCCAATGGTTTTTCAAAAAAAAAGTTTCAAAAATTCATCCCGCGCGCTCTTGCGGATTTCTTAGGAAACCCAATACTTTTTCAACATTTCTGTCAAACGGGCTCTTGCGAGCAACTTTTTCACGTGCTTCGAACTTCTGCAACAACGGTTGCGCGCCTGCCAGGGCCATCATCCCTGTCAAATAATACCATATGGGACACATTCGTTTTTTCTTCGCGCGCGCACGCCGAAATCTTCAATTGCAGGGGGAAAAGTCGTATACTAAGCTAGCTTACAGAAAATGTTACCACAACAAGTCATTGTACCCATGCGCCAGTGTAGTAGCCAAGGTCGTCCGCAGGCCACGAAGTGAGGTGTCCGAACGTCATAGGGCGGGAAGCTGGGTGTGGGTGGTGGCGAAGAGTCGTTTGGAAATTTGGTAGAGCTTGAACCGGCCCCCCCACAAAGTGGGGGTATTGCCCGCCTCCTATGAAAACCCTGGCACTGGTGAGAACGGAGTGTCCCCACGTGCTAGTAATTGTTGTTGTTGTTGTTGTTGTTGTTGTTGTTGTTGTTGCTGTTAGGGTGGAGACAGGGGCGGCGGCCGATCACCTCGCGCTCCTTTTCGCCCCAACAAGCGGGGGTCGGTGGATTCGTGTTGCGATGCTCGCGAGCTCGCCAGTCAGGGAGACGCCTTGTTCTTCCAGCTCGGCAGCGCGCGCCCGCTCCCGGGCGGCGTCGGCTTTGCTGCCGCGGAAGACTGCTGCGGCATGATCTCCTTCGAGGCCTTCCAGCTGCTGTCCCGCGACGGGAGGCAGCCCGTCAAGAGCGCGGAGATAGGGCGACGAGATCTATACATATCCACTGCTCCTGGCCAGGCCCATCCTGGGCCCAGGAGCTGTGTATATGCCTCCCTGGCCAGGTCAGGAGGGCGTATACACCGCTCCTGGGCCCAGGATTGGCCTGGCCAGGAGCAGTGGATATGCATAGATCTCGTCGCCCTAGGAGAGGGACGAGGGCTTCACCCACCTGGGCGTGCCGCTCTACGCCACGGAGGGCCACTTTGCGCGCGCCAGGCTGCTCCTGCCAGACGCCCTCCGCCTGCTGAGCCCCGGCGGCTCCTACCAGCCGGGCGCGTCGGAACTCCAGCTCCTCGGCCTCCTCGGCCGCAGCCTGGCCGCGGGCCAGGCCAAGACGGAGGCCCAGACGGTGGCGCTGCTGCACAAGGCGCGCGCGGTGCGCGCCGTGCTGGCCTCGACGCCCAGCGCGACGCCGGGCGAGTCGCTGCTGGACGCCGCGGTCGCGGGCGCCGCGCGCTTCCGGGCCGAGCCGAGCGCGAGGGCGGGCTGCGGAGACCTCTACGCCACGGCGGCGGCCGGCCTGCTGGCGCAGGCGTGGGGCGAGGAGGAGGTCGCGGGGCTGGCCTCTGCGGTCGTGGAGGAGGCGCCTCGGACGAAACCAGGGCGAGGATGAAGTCGGGCGAGGGCAGCTCCGAAAGTCTCCGGGGTCCGACGGCTCGGGCGAGGATGTCTCGGGCGCCGCGGCCTTGTCAGAGCGCTCCGGAGCTCGGATAGGCGCGCGAGGGGGGGAGGTGAGAAGGGGAAGGGCCTTCTCAGAAGGCGGCGGGGCCTCTCAGAAGCCTTCGTGCCCTCCGAAAGGTTTTCTCTTGTGTCTTCGGGGAAGGCTCAGGGACGTCCTCCGGGCCTTCTCCGAAAGCCCAGCCCTCCTCACATTCCCCCCGGGCTCGCCGCCGAGGAGCGTTCTGAGAGCTTTCCGGAGCGCTGTGAGACGGACCGATCAGGTCGGGCGTGTCTTCCTAAAGACTGATTTTTGGACGACAATTTAAAACAAATCCACAAATCTAGACCACGATAGTCCCAAATAGGCAAAAAGTCGTCACCAGACTATTTTTGAACCTTCCTCCTGTAGAGGGACATGCCTTAAGTCGGGCCTGTCCCTCTACAGGGGGAATCTTCAAAAATTGTGCAAACATAGTTTTGTGGACGTTTTTTTTTAATTTGCAACTTTTGCCCATTTGGAGGGTGTTTTTCGAGTTTTTTTTTTTTTTTTTTGTGTGTGTGTGTGTGTGTGTGTGTGTGTGTGTATGTTTTTTTTTTTTTTTTTTTTTTCCTCTCAATTTTTCGCCCAAAATTCCCCTGTAGGGGGACACGCCCGACCCAAGTGTAGTGACTCGACCGTCCGAGGCGCTGCGCCGGCGCGTGGCGCATGCGCTGCGCGGCGCGGGCGAGGCGCAGCGCCTGTGCCTGGTGTGGGCGCTCCTGGGCCCCTGCGACGAGGACTCGCCGAGCCCGTGCCGCCACTCGCAGGGTGCCTGCTCTCAGGAGGGATCGGGGGTGGACAGACCTCCTACCCTGACACGTCGATTCAGGAATTGGCCGTTTTCGGTTCGCGAGAGGGCGTCGCGGCCGTCATTTTTGCGGGTCCAGGTCCGTCGGTTTCGGCCCCAGGCCGTTTTCATTAAGGGGAGGTCTACTAAAGGGAAGTTTGTCCACCGCCGACGGGAGAAAAGCACAGACACAGTGAATCTTCGATTCGCCAGAAAGTATGGGAAAATATGGGAAGCGGGGGGGGGGGACACAAAAACCCAGAAGACACAGGAAAACATGGTGAGTCCGGTCATTTGTGTCTATTTGCTTGTGTGTCTCAGGGCTCCTTCATGCTCGCAGGCGTTCGAAAAGCACACGTTCGTCTCGATAGGAAGGATCGTGCGTGGAGCCCGCGCGGCGGATCCAGGCCACTTGCGAGGGGTTACTTTGCGAGTGTCACCACCCACCAAACCACCCCAACCCAACCCGAAGGCCTCAGTTTGCCCTCCACTTCCAGTGGGGGGGGGGGGGTCGCAGTGGGGTGGGGGGTCGGGGAACATTGAGAGAACACAGCTGGAACCCGTACCCCCCCCCAACCCGAAATTCGGGTCTTCGGGTTGGGTTTGGGGTGGCCTGGTAGTAGGAGGAGGAGGAGGAGGAGGAGAGGAGGAGGAGGAAGGAGGAGGAGAGAGGAGGAGGAGGAAGAGGAGGAGGAGGCGGAGGAGGAGGAGGAGGAGGAGGAGGAGGATGAGGAGGAGGAGCGCGCTTGTCCAAGGACGGCCTGTGGCTGGACCGCGAGCTCCCGTGCCCCGACGCCGGCGAGCTGCTCCTCTCCGGCAGCGGCTTCTGCCCCTTCCGTGCCCCGGAGGCCCGGGCGGGCGACTGCAAAGGGCGTGGCTACGCCAGGGTGTGGTTGGCGGTCGGCGCCGTGGGGGCCTGGAGGGTACGACGCTGTCCTCGTCGGGCCTCGTCGGGGCGCGGCGGAGAGCTCCATCGAGGCACTCGCCCGACCCCCACGGTGCCCCCCAGGGTGCCGAGTGCAAACCACACCTCTTGCAGACCACACCCTTCGGATTGGCCCATCGGGGTGGTCGAAACGGGTGCGGGACTCGGCAGCGAGCCGGGGGGGGAGGAGGAGGAGGAGGAAGAGGGGGAGACGGAGGAGGAGGAGGAGGAGGAGGAGGAGGAGGAGGAGAGGAGGAGGAGGGGGAAGGAGGAGGAGGAGGAGGAGGAGGAGGAGGAGGAGGAGGAGGGGAGAAGGAGGAGGAGGAGGAGGAGAGGAGGAGGAGGAGGAGGAGGAGGAGGAGGAGGAGGAGGAGGAGGAGGAGGAGGAGGAGGAGAGGAGAGGAGGAGGGGAGGAGGAGGAGGAGGGAGGAGGAGGAGGAGGAGGAGGAGGAGGAGAGGAGGAGGAGGAGGAGGAGGAGGAGGAGGAGGAGGAGGAGGAGGAGGAGGAGGAGGAGGAGGAGGAGGAGGAGGAGGAGGAGGAGGAGGAGGAGGAGGAGGAGGAGGAGGAGGAGGAGGAGGAGGAGGAGGGGAGGAGGAGGAGGAGGAGGAGGAGGAGGAGGAGGAGGAGGAGGAGGAGGAGGAGGAGGAGGAGGAGGAGGAGGAGGAGGAGGGGAGGAGGAGGAGGAGGAGGAGGAGGAGGAGGAGGAGGAGGAGGAGGAGGAGGAGGAGGAGGAGGAGGTAGGGAGGAGGAGGAGGAGGAGGAGGAGGAGGAGGAGGAGGAGGAGGAGGAGGAGGAGGAGGAGGGGAGGAGGAGGAGGAGGAGGAGGAGGAGGAGGAGGAGAGGGAGGAGGGGAGGAGGAGGAGGAGGAGGAGGAGGAGGAGGAGGAGGAGGAGGAGGAGGAGGAGGAGGAGGAGAGGAGGAGGAGGAGGAGGAGGAGTGTGAAGGGAAAGGCCCTCTCGGAAGGCGGCGGGGCTTGTCAGAAGGCCTCCGGCCTTCTGAGAGCTTTTCCGTGTCTTCGGGGAAGGCTCCGGGACACCTCCTCGGAGGGTCGGGGAGCGAAAGCAAGATCAGAGGAGGAAAGGGTACCCTTAAGTCGGGCCTGTCCCTCTACAGGAGGAATACTCATATAGTTAAAATATAGTATGGGGACTTTTTTTGATTATTTTCGGTTCATTTTTGAATATGTTTTGACTACTTTTCATTTTTCCTCTAAAATCCCCCTGTAGGGGGACAGGCCCGACTTGAGGGTACCCATACCGCTACCTCTGCCTCGTATTCCCCTTTTTTTGGGGGTGCTGGGAGGCCCTCGTCGCCATCGCCGGATTCGCCTCCCAACTTCTGGTCTGGCCAGCTATCTTGGCAGTTCCCCTTAGAATGGGTACGGTCGGACTGAGGTATAAGATCGAGGGCAGTTCG